GGGGAAACCATAAACCGCAGTACCTTGTTTTCGCCGTTGAAAAATTTTAGAACTCTGGTTTCATGTATAGTAACTTGGAATTTTGTCATATGTCAGTGTTTTCGCGAAATCATCTTCAGCACATAACTTGAAGAATGCTGTCAATGTTGTGTTCTGCGGGTTATTAACAACTTCTTGTATATTGTTCTCAGTGAAATATACTCTTTGTCCATTTTCTAAATGAACTGCAAGGTCGACAATTGTGGGAACCCGGTCGTGCACTTCGAATGATAAAATCCTCCATACAGCTTCAGAGCTGCAGATGTAACGTCCAGACTGATATTTTTCCACTTCATTTGGTGATTGTATGCTTAAAGTGGCTTGATCACTGCCTTTATTAATGTATTTAGTAACATATTGGATTGACTTTATTGAACTCCACAACTCTACGTTGACGTGAGTATCAAAAATTTTCAAAAGGAGCGGATTATAGGGAACAATCCATCGGTTATCAATATCATGGTTTCGGACGGTGGCACTTTGCCCACCCTGTTCTGGTGATCGTCGACGATATTTGGGATATCCGTCATCGCTAGTAGTTGTTTGAGTTTGGAACGACTTCGGAAATTTTTTGCTGCATTTGGAATCTCGCATACTTGAAGAATTCGGGTTTAAAGTCCCGCAAGGGCCGTGTACCATGTGTTTCTTTACGATTTCGTACAGGACAGGATCTTCATCTTTATCCGGCAATTCAGCTGAAATAACGCTGTCAATTTGGTTTGGTCTAATTTTGTTAACTAACCACACCGGCAGGTGTATATGTGGCAAGCCACGTTTCTGCCATTCTATTGTGTACATATGACAGCGTGGCGGACCGAATATATGAGACTTGTTAATGAGGTGCAGGAGTTTCTGTACTTTTAAATGGAAAACTCTGTTAATTATATCATATCTGTCTTGTGGAGTTAAATTGGTGTTAATATTTTCTTTGATTTCCGGCCAATTTGGGTTACACGTTGCAGTTATAAAGAAATCAGGTTTGCCGTAATGTCTGACGTAAGTCATGGCGTCTTGCGATTTTGCGTGTTAATATCGAGGTCCACCTGTGAATGATGAAGTGGTTCAGGTGGAGGGAGAATTTCTTCTAATTTGATTTTTCCTTGTAAGCAACACTGCCTTTCGATTCGTCCTTGAATTGCAATGCCAAGCAATGTTCACATACTACTGACATAGTACCTATTGATACTAAACGATCGTCCTTGTAAGAAATTGAAGGCTCGTAATTCATGGCAGAATTTTCTTTATTTACCCATGAATTAGTTACTCGTGCTGACGATTCTCTGGCTCTCTGTATTCGATGTCTATCCCTATCCTGGCTGAGGCGAGCCTCACGCTCTACAGATATGAAAGCATTGATACATCACAAATATAGACTCATAAATATTTTGCGTATTTTAGATTTGGTAAAATTTTGAGATGAAGTCATCAATTTCGTGGGAAGGGATAAACGAATAAATTATTATTAACTGTTTCAAAGTTAAGTTGCAAAATACTGTTGGCGTTAGTAAAACGTCGGTGCAACGAATACTTAGTGCAAATAAATTTCATCCCTATCACTGAACTTTGGTTCAAGAACTAAAATCCACTGACTCATTTTTATGATTTCGTTCTTTTTTCTGATGAGGCAAAATTTTCGAACAATGGTGGAGTTAATAAATATAACACCCACTATTACGCCCAAAACAACCCTCACTGGATTGGAAAAGGTTACTTTCAGACAATTTATGCTACAAATGTTTGGTGTGGGATACTCGGAAACAACATTATCGGTCCTTACTTTTTTCGGGAAAATTTAAATGGAAATTTATATCTAAATTTTCTTCGTTATATGTTACCGATACTCCCCGAAAACATTAATTTGGAAATTCGTCAAAATTTATGGTTCCATCACCCCTCCCCATTTTCACAGAATTGTTGAAATATACCTGGACGAGATTTTTCCTAATAAAAATGGATTGGAAGAGGTTCGATTAATCCAGGGGGCGCTGAAAGCTTGTCGGAGAATTTTTCTCTGGAGGACTTCCAGGCGATGAAAATGGGTTTTGGAAAGTTCCAGGCTACTGAGGCATGAGACATGCTGGGGCGAATGATTGCTCGATAGAGACGAAGTTTGTTTTTGATCGACATCTTGCGGCCGATTAGTGGCACCAGGATGCCTTTAATTCCGTTAGTCTTCAGTACAACGTAGCTAATCTGAGAAAGCTCAGCTCTTTCTCATTAAAGGCACAAAGATGTTTTGTTTCATCCTGGCAGGGGATGGTCTGGCCGTACTAAAATTAAATTACACCTATACGCGTATATCCTAAGACTGCCAAGTGGCGTAAGTCTTCACCAGTGCCGTTTAACTTTAGTTTAGCGTTTTTTAGATAAGCCAACGTGTTTGGCGAAATGCGTCGATAAATATTTTGTGTTTTCGGTATTGTGAGGATAAACATTATAATATTATAGCGCACCGAGCGATCAAAAAAATTCGGGGTCATGAAACGTCAAGAAAACATTAAAGTAGCCGTGCGTCGGATTTACCCTGTTACAATATTTCCTTAGTTTACCCTCGGGAAGAAAAAATGAACCAATGTTAAAGAAATGCCGGCAAAAGAGTTCCATCCAAGAGCCATTTATGACCCTTCCCGTATCATTTCGGGAGCGGTCGGTTAACAACCGAGGGTCAGAGTCGGTACCGTTTGGTTTAAAATGGGTTCATAAGCAGTAAAAATGTCTTACTACTTTCCTGATTGTGGTATAAAAACAAAAATATTTCTAGCGATATAAAAACTGAAGTTTATTACTTCTATATTCTATCTTATTAGATTATTATTGTGTTGTATGCCCAGTAGGTGGCAAACGGTTTCCAGCACGCCACTGCAACAATCGGTTTCTTGGAGGAGCTGGAAGAACCATTTATGGATTTTAGTCGAAAGCGCGTACCAGTCACTTCTTCAAACTATCGTTCCCTCTTCTTATTCTACCTCCATGTGAATTAGCAATTTCACAACATAACCTGAATATGAGTTGTTTCTGGCTGAACAAGGAGGTTTAAATGTATAGAGAGAGTACTGGGCTCGTTGTTTTGTATCGCACATATATAAACCCTCTCTGTTGTTCGTATGGTGTTCGTACACATTCGTGAATTGACGGATAAGCAATTGAGCGAGTCAGTGGCGGAACTACATTTTACTGCTGTCTATTGTATGAAATTGAAACTCGTCAGCCACTGTACTGCGGTACAATAAACCTCTCGCGCCTCACTCCTCTCACCCGGGAAATGTTGGTCACACTTTGATATATGGAAGGTATGCGGCATACTTACTTGCTTGTGGACCAGCCTGTATACACATAACATGCTTCTTTCGCTATATTTGAACAGTCCACACATTTTACTTTAACTAAAAAGGTTCTCATTAAAAATGAAAATCACAAAACTTAATTGTACAGGTCTGTATTATAACGGGACCTTGGCCAACTTTCAGTGCAACACAAAATACATTTATCAGTTATTATTAGATTCTAAAATAAACAAATATGAACATTTATTCGATTAGTCCCTAACGACTCTGTGATAGTGAGGTGGTGCCCCGTCCTTCTGAAACCACAGCTCTTGTCGGAGGTTGAGACGAACATTTTCTAATAACCTGAGCAAATAATTTTCCAAAAATGATCGATACTTGTGTCCTGTTAAGTTGCCTTCAAAAAAGTATTGACTAATTCCGTAATCTCCAATAATACCAGCCCACACGTTTACGGAATACCTAAACATTTTGAAAATGAGCTGTTTTGATATAACGTGCTAATGTGGGTTATTTTGGGAGTACATAATACTCGCAGTTGTGCCGATTAACAACCCCGTTATTGTCAAATCTTGCGTCATCGCTGAACAAAACTTTGAATAAAAAATTGTTGGCCAACTGCAGTTGATGTCGCATAAAATTATAAAATTGGATTCTTGTGAGAAAATCTTACAGATTTTGAACTAATGTCACGTCGTAAGCTCTTAAAATTTTTGAGACGGAAGATTGAAATATTCCCACGTGTGCTATAAATCTTTGGCTCACATGCTGGTCATTGTCTACAGCTTCAATTACGCGAATTTCATTTTCTACACCAGTAGCGGTGCGTCCTCTATTTCTTGTTTCTTTTGGGCCAATTTTGTCGTAAAGTTTTCACTAAACTTCTGAAAATTTGGCCGGATGGATGTGGCTTAACGGGATCCTTCTTGCGTCAAGATTTGTTGCTGCAACAGCATTCTTACCGTATTTTCCAAAAATTAAAATCATTACAACCTTTGCATCGTTGGTGTATCTAACCCGCATCTTATCGAAAAGTCTAGAAACTTCTCCGAACTCAAAATTGACGGTAGAATTATTACAAAAATCAAAATTAACTACTAGGTAACTATGTTTATACATTTTATAAAAATAAACATATGTATAAAAAGAATTACATATGAAATACGTATTTTATGTTGTACTGAAAGTTGGTCAGGGTCCCGTTATTGTAATAGTCAGAATCACCCTGCATAATTTTTCGTATTTGTTCGTCTGTACGTCGAGGGTGAGGCAACTTCTGTCTGAAGAACTTCAGAAGCTTTTGTGTAATGCATAGGGGTTATCAAAAATAAAATTTTGCAAAATCAAATGCTATTATTTTTCAAAGAAGCAGGATTTGTTGGACCATACTTCAAGGGCGAGGAAAGTTCTGTCGTAATAACCTTGGACCAATTTTTTAATTACGAGTACATATGGATTGTGTTTGACCCGCAGTTTGACCACTGCCAAGTTTAATTTAGTTAACTGACCAAAATAATTACTAGTTTAATAGTTTCTGACGTTTCAGAAAAATATCGAATTTTCACCTCGTCACATGTTATTTTATCTGTGATTACCTACAATTATAAATAATTACATTGTCTTAATAGAATAATAACAATTGTTATTTTATTTTTAATTTGTAATTTTTCGTTTTAGTTGCCTACATATATTTTTTCTAATATACTGGATCGTAATAATTTTCGATCGTTACGGATCGGTCTTAATAGACTTCAGTGTGATTGCAATGCAGCGAAGGTTTTGAAGGTACCTTTTTAGAAGATTTATGTATTGCTTTAGTGATCTATAAAATGTAAATTTTAGGTATGGCTTTTAACAAAGCAAAAAAATATTCAAGATTATGACGAAATTTATTGTGATAATATGGATATGAAAGTAATAGACCTAAATCCTTCTAAACTTTGTCAGAGTCAACAAGATTGGACGGATTATATATATTATATCATCACTGCAGAGGTGGTGTTATTTGCAGGTTTGATTGCCAAAGTTGTTTATGATTACTATGTTTTTAAAACATCTGGATATCTACCATGGCCAGCGAGTAAAATGCCAAAGTTGCCATGCGATTGGTTGTGTGAATAGAGCTAATAATAATCATTTTGTAACAATGTGCCTGTTTTTTCGCTTTATTATGTGGTTGTGAAGTTTTTTTTTTAACATTTAGTCTGAATAGATAGCTGCCACTTTTTGCAACTGTGTTCATATATTCAGCTCCAAATCTATTTTTTTACCAATGTTTGTGAAAACATCTAGATAAAGATAATAGAGAACTTTACTGGTCTTCAGACAAAGTGATAGCTTAAATTTTTACAGTCTGCAAAAAAAAGGTTAGTTCCATAAAATGTATAAATTTTTGAAAATGTTTACATTTAAGAATTAACGACAGATACAGGACCGTTAGAAGGATGTCGTATAACAGTTTTTTAAACATAACAATTTTTTAGTTCCTCTCTTTGGCTCCTTTTTGATATTTTTTGAGTCACGTAATAAGGACTATAACGCAAGGGAGATTTTTTTGGAAGTTGCTTGGCATTTCTTTGTGGCGTAGCAAAGGACCGAATTATTTAAAGAATGTTTATGTGATCCTTTGATATTTGGGGGAAAATACATATCCAGTTTTCATTTACAATTTCACTATTTTGTAATTTTTTATTACAGTGCAATTTATGTGATTTGGTCCGATACGACTTGGTATCTAATTTTTTGGTTTCTTTCGTTTTGCTTTCCCTGTATGTAATTCTGTACACAAATTTAGCTTCTAATCAGTTTTACGTTTTACAATTTTATCATCGTCTCTAACTAGGAATATCAGGGTGATTCGGCTTAAATGACAAGTGTAATATGTTTTTAGCGGAACCCAAAATAATTCATTTATTCCTTGTTTCTCTCAAAAATTTCACAAATTCACGAAGTCTGTGGTTTTTAAAAATGTCAAAACAAAGTGTCTCTGTCACGTATTACATTTAAAATGAAAGTTGATGGAAATAATTCTCTGAAAATGAGTTCCACGAATCCATCGTAGATTTTCTTGTGGTAAATTATGTTTGTTTATATTACCATTGTTGGAAAATTGGCTTTCATCACAAATAAAATGTTTGTGAAAAAATTGGGATCATTTAGCAGTTGTTCCAGAACAAAATTGCAAAGTGCTAATCTTCCTGGAAAGTAAGTTAGTTTCTCGTAGTTCATGAACTAACTGCTATGTTACAAGTGAAACTTGTTAGCCTTTAACATTTGGCAAATACAAGATTGTCCGTTGTCCAATGTGAGGATTTTCTAAAACAGTTTCCAAAACTCGGATCTCGTTTTCCAAATGTCTAGCGCTTAAAAACACTTTTTTGCACTCATGATCTTTTTTGATGGCTTTCGTGCATTCACCAGGGTGCGGGAGTTCGAACTTCCCGCACACGTGCATTTTAACTTCCCGTTGCCATGGTAACCTTAAAATACTCGCGTAGTGTCAACATTGTGATGTGTTGACGGCGCCATTGTTTATAAATAACTCACAGTTAATTTCTTCAGTTTAAAGGTTTATTCGTTGCAAAAAATATTGTACACAACACGTTCGTGAGCCTGCTTCCCGCATTCACGCAAATGCGGCACTCCCTTCGGTCGTGCCGCAAACAAGCGTTCATGCGGGAAGCAGGCTATCCCGAACTAGTTGTGTAAATTACTATTTCCGTTTACTGACAGGCCAATCGTTTCGTAGTTTCATTTCAAATCTTTTGAACATTTTATCTATTATGTCTACGTTGGGAATATCTTTGAGCCGCAACCAGAGCATTTTTTGACGCTCCCCATAAATTAAGATCACGTCCATTTTCTCGGTATTGGTAAACGAATATCTTGGCATTTTTGCAAATAATTTTCAACTATGTACTCAAAATTGACAGTGACATAAAATGCAAACTTGGAGTTATAATATTTTTTAAATTCTACTATGAATCAAGGAATAGAAGAAAAATGTATTTTGGGGTGCCTGTCGGGTCAGATCAAATTCGTCATTTACGCTGAATCATCCTGTGTAAAATATTAAAAATTTGAACATTGCCTTTGTTAGTATGTTTCATTTCAGTAAAACTACCAAAAAGTGTTCATTGACGCCGGCGTCAATGTTTTTACCACAATTAATGTTAGGAAATGTTCTAAAATCTAGTACTAACATTCGAAATTTCTTTATTTCTTTTTCCGAAAAAAACACGTGATTTTTCAAACTTCTATGTTCTTTACTCCAAGTTTCTTCACATTATTATGTCGGAAGGTTTGCTACAATGAGTGGTATTTGTGGTTTTCATTTTTCTTACTGAAGTGTTTTTAAAGGCAAATGGAACATTTTACCGTATTCATTACTCCAAAGAAATAATACACATGATCCAAATCTGTTAGTAATTGTTATTATTTGAAGCCCGATATCTTTCATATATTCTAATATGGGTGTAAAATTTCTGTGTGTCACTTGTTCGTGGCGATGCTGTCTTTTCAATGTTTGTATACACTTTTGCCATGCATTTTTAAATGGTCGAAACGCAGAAAGAGCGGTTGCAAAATACCGATAACATTGGCGGTAAAGTGCAACAAGAATAATATCTCAATGATCTGCATAAAAAAGGAAAAGTTCAAAAAATAACGAGGCCTCCATCTGTCCATTTTCAGACAAGCCTGTACCCTATTCATTCGGTACCAGTACTGTTTTCTAACAAGTAGGTGTAATCTGAGGTTCGTCTAAAGTTTGAAATTATTTGATAATATATAGAAAGATGTACATACATAATACAAAATATATTTTCTCATACATCAGTTTATGTTTAAGATTAATCGATTAAATTTGAACGTTTTATTAAAATTAAAATATACTTTAATTTATGTTTCTGCTCATTCATGGAGATCTATGTACATATATTGAAATATGTATGTTACATATTATTTACTCTTAATATTTTTAGAAAATACTGTTAAGATCGTTAACTGTATGTACCTATATTAAGTGTAATATATTTAGAATTATCATTTATGTTTTCATGTAATAAAAAGATATATAGAATCCTATGTTTGTCTAAAACAATTATAATGTAGTTGAATATTATATCTTAATCGCATTTGTTAAAGTCCCCCTAAAGAATAATAATTTGTACCTATACTTTAGCTGTAAAAGAAGTGTTAAAGGTTTTGGAACCACCGAGTGTTGTTTTTATTTGTATTGTGTAGCGAGTTGTTTATTTACACACAAAAAAATTGTTTTATAAACTACAAATCGTTTTTACTTCATTGCTCAATGTATAGAATTTAAGTATACTCCTATTAGTTATACTGTAAATTCATAAATTATTTATTTTTATTTATCTATTTTTGTTTATTATGAAATATTTATTGCTACTTCAGTTCTTTTACTTTGTTTTATAGTTTTGAATAAATCATAACTACCATGTTGTAACCGTTTACTTTACCCTTATTGCTCTCTACTACATTGATGCACTTTTTGCTAAAACATTCGTAAGAAGTAGAATACACTAGATATAGATAGCATCATCACCGGCTCCTATTTACTCGCCGTCTAATAAGGTCAATTCAACAATGAAATCTTGTGGTAGTAGAGACCGCTAGCTACCGGAGAAAACTGTCACGCTGACATTTTTGTCATACCTGACACATAGTTGTTCACAAATTAGATTTTTATCGATTTATTAGTCTTACATGAGTTATCAGAATATTAAATGGACAACAACCAAAAATAAAATAAGTATTGCTTTCATTTCTATCATATCCGACACCGCTTGATCTTGAATAAACTTAAATCACTGCTGCAGCGCTTGTGTTGCGTTTGTTGTTGATCTGATTACACGCTGGCAATTTTGGAAAGACTTTTCCAATAAATCAATAATAATGCTTTCAAATAACATTACAGTTAAATTCGTACGACAAAAAATAACATTTTTAACAACTCAACCGCAAGATGCAACGTCATTCCTTTTCCCTTGGATGATGATGAAGGGGTCACAAGCCGACTGCCCGACTGGTCGCTGGATAAAAAATTAGTTTTACAAGTTTGTGAGAATTGAACACAAAAATGTTGATAAAGGCACACATGCAAGTTCTGAACTAATAGTAAAGTGTTTGTATTTCTTAACATAATCGGATTGACGCATGACAGTTCTCGATAACTAATAAACATTAAAATCTGAATGAACCAGTGGCGGCTCGTGGTGATTTTTGATGGGTGGGCAAAGCATTATACAGGGTGTCTCAGAAATAAGTACATTAATTTTAACCAGTAACAGAACTCGTGAAACGGAACAACTTTTTTATCTAGCATTTTTTCGAAAACTCAAGTCGAATTTCGAATTTTCCCACCCATATATTCACGAGCCGTCTATGTTCACCTTAAATAATAACTTAAATAATAGCAACACTACAACAATGAAGAAGGTACCGTAGCAACCGTTTTGACACTGACAATCATTTTTATGTCAATGTTTTTATTAAACGTTGTCTCTTTAAAGTTTGTGTGGCACAGATTTCTAATTTATAGACGAAATGTGTTGAAATGGCTTTGTTTTCAAATTTGGAATGCACCGATATCGTTTTAACGTACGGTGAAGCTCGGGGAAACGGCACTCGCGCCCAACGAATTTTTTCAGAAAACCTCCCAAATCGTCGTCTGCCAAATGTGCGCACTTTTAAGAACGTTGCAGCATTTTCGAGAATACGGATCTTTTAAACCTGCACCTCAGGATCGGGGTAAGTTACGTAGTAATAGAATTGCTAATATTGAAGAGGCTGTTTTGAAGAGTGTTGAAGCTCGACCGAGCACTAGCACGTATCACTGTCTAGTGTGATGTATCGGAGAGTAGTATTTGGAGGATACTCAGAGAACAAATGTACCCCTTTCAGGACCAGAAAGTTCAGTTATTGAAACTAACAGACTTACCACGTAGGCAAAACTTTTGTGAGTGGGTTAATAGAAAAACAAACGAACAAGCAAATTTTGTATCTCTTATACCATCAACTGATGAGGTCGGTTTCACGAGGGAAAGTGTTCAACACCCACATTTGGGCCGATGAAATTCCGTACGCCATTAGGGAGCAGGATTTTCAATTTCTCTCTAAATGTTTGTCACATTGACAAGATTAGGAAAATACGTACCCTAGTAACTGTTTTTGACCATAAATTATTAATTATAATAATTATTAGTGACCATGGGTAACTGAGAATCCATGGGCGGGTAACCTTAATTGGGGTATAACTTTAACAATTTTTAACTTGATAATTAAAAAGTTCTTGACAAAACTCTACTAAAAAAAGTTGTTGAGTTCAGTGAGCTCTATAACTGATTAAAATTAATGTACTTATTTCTGAGACACCCTGTATGTAGGTTATGACATGTATGAAAAAAAAATATATACATATATATAATTAATCATTTTTGTGAGAACGTGTTTTTGTTTTGGTGCTGCATGTCAATCAATATAATATAACAAATATTTTATGTATATTACATATATATTATTTTATAAATGTTACTTATTACAATGTCGGTCAGCAAGAACCAACGAGAACGTCGAAGACTCTTGCTAGAAGAGGAAAGAGGAGCAAAAAAAAGGTTCAGCACATAAATAGATTTGTTAGGAGTTTATAGAACTATAAACTCAAATAATGATCCCAACATGTAAAGATTTTGAAATAACATGACGAGAAAACATTAAATTTTAAACCTTTGAGATAAGCTACAATTAGAAAAAGCAGCAATTTGGAAAATTATTGTAAAAGCAAAATTAAAAATGCCAAATCAAACAAAACATAAATTCTCAAAATACTAACAAAGTTAACAATAACAAATAAAATAAAAATAATTCCAAAATAATCGTTCTGAAGACCACTAATTACCAAAGACTCCTCCAAAAAACTTTTTAAATTTATCATCGAATTTACTTTAAGAGAAATTTGCGATTCATCTTGTCCCCGAAATGTATGTTTTTGTGTAGTCAAGAAAATTATCATATCGAATAAACGCCGAATTTAAGAGAATTTTCTATAGTTTCACTTCGTTTTCCAAGTAATTTTCGTTTATTCAGATTGGTCATGTTTTTGTAAAGCAGTAGCGATATATTTTATATCGCTCTTCTTGTGGAATTCTAAAGTGTTCGTAATTTAATTTTATGTTAAATAGCAGATAATTCCAACAGTTTTGTTTGTTGTTTCACTACCGATCAACCAACCAATAGGTACCTAATATTTATTGTCCGAACTTTGATTAAGGCCTTTATTACTGCCACGAGAGTTTGTGATGACCAATTGTTTCATTTTGGGACATGATCTTAATTTATAAACAAATAATTCATAAATATCAAGTTCCATACTACTGAATTTATTTATTAAAAATAAAAACTCAATATCTTTAATGCCTTCTTTACCACCTCTCTAATATTATTTGCGCAGCTTACAGTAGGATTTGCCATTAAAAAAAATTGCTAGAAAGTACCTACTTTGGTACCCGCTTAACTATTTGGTAATTTGAATAAGCTACATTTTATAATTAAATGCACTACCCACATTGCAGTTTCTGATCTGACTGAATTCAATTGAGTCGTGTCTCCGACGAGGACGAACCATGCCGAGTGCTTCCGATTTTCAGGGTGGATTTGCCCACCCATGCTAGAGCGAACGCGTAACAAACCTGTGCGGACAGTCTGAATTAAATAATAAATTAAGCGTATATTTAACTTTTGTTTACTCTGCTACAGTTATATTTATGAAACAAATATGCATATGTAATAATAAAAAAATACACATGTCAGATACGTACTGCAATAATAAATGTATTACTTATTCTCATCATAGGTTATTCGGATTTTTAAATTTATAATTCATTATAAAGTTTACACGGTGTCACAATACAAGAATATGGTTATTACAAATTTTCATTTGATATGAAAAAGTATTTATTAATTATTATGGTGTTGCCCTTTTCTATAACAATAGTATTCAAGAATTTTCGCATAACATTATTTTCCTTACTATCTTACCCATATTTCAATAGAGTAATAAAAATAATTACCTCTATACTTTTACAATACAGAAGAAGTAATAAAATCGAAATTAATTTATTGAATCCTTGAAGCGAATATCGAGAGATCCGATTCTGCAGCGTTTGAGATATACGTTGAGGCCAGGGCGTCCTGCCCC